TCTCACCTTCAGGTGACACTGTAAATAAGAAGCAGGCAACATTATCTCCCATAAATATAAACAAACTTATTTCTCTTAGCGATTGGCTGAACAGGAAGTAGGACTGAGACGACCTGTAGGCTCTAAAGTTTTAGATTGTTTTGTTTTTGAATGCAGTTATGTAACAACAACAACAAAATCTACATTTGTAAGTTGCACTTTCATGATAAAGAGATTGCACTACAGTACTTGTATGAGGTGAATTGAAAAATACTATTTCTTTTATTTTTTACAGTGCAAACATTTGTAATAAAAATAATATAAAGTGAGCACTGTACACTTTGTATTCTGTGTTGTAATTGAAATCAATATATTTGAAAATGTAGAAAAACATCCAAAAATATTTAATAAATTTCAATTGGTATTCTATTGTTTAACAGTGCAATTAAAGCTGTGATTAATCACAATTAATTTTTTTAATCGTGATTCATTTTTTTTTAGTTAATCGCAGGAATTAACTGTGATTAATCAACAGGTCTAAAAAAAATCCATGCAACATCCAAACTCAATTCCTGTTCTTACACTCCAATATAGCAGGAAACAGCTGACTGTCCTCACTGCTTCTACGGCCCTGGTCTGAGGGAGAAAGCTGAGTCTTGTGACCCATTTGACTAGCAGAACATTAGCTTCAGTCTGAGAATAAGTGAGAGCTGTAAAGAAAGGTAATTGGGAGGGTTCTCAGGGCTCTGACAAGCACAAGAAGTACAATCAGCCACTAAAAAATGAGAACCTCCTACTTTGTCAAAGAATGTAGATAAGTGTCTTGGTTAAAGGCACGTAACTCTAATAGATATGCAGAGGAAGAATTTTAAATGTTCATTTCATAGCCTTATGTCCTATAGTCTCCTCTCTTTACTTGCGTTTTGTTTCACAAAGAAGAATGTTACTTTCCTTATAGTAACTGGAGGTTCTTTGAGATGTGTGGTCCCTATTTGTATTCCACTGTGTACTCATGCACTTCATGCACGCAATTGTAGAACTCTTGAAAACAGTGTCAGTTGGTCCACACAGGCACACTCGCTCTCCTCGTGCCTCTGATCAAGGAGATTAAGGGTTGAGCATACCAACCCCTCCTCCAGTTCCTTCTCTACCATAAATCCAAGAATGTTTTGAAGCAGAGGGGTAGGAGGGCAGATAGGTCCACATATCTCGAAGAACTTCCAGTTATTACACAGTCAGTGAGTAACTTTCTCTTCTTCTTTGATTGCTGGTCCCTATGTGTATTCCACTCTGGGTGACTGACAAGCAGTACTAAAGAAGGAGGAGGCTGCCAGGATGCAGGCAGCAAAGTCATTTGAAGTACTGCCATCCCAAAAGATGCATCAGTGGAGGAGTCCTGTACTAAAGCATATTGTCTCACAAATGTGTGGATGGAACTCCATGCAACTGCTCTGCAAATGTCAAATAGAGGTACTTCTTGAAGAGATGCCATTAATATCACTTGTGTTCTTGTAGAATGAGCCCTCATCCCATGAGGGGGAGGACAATTAGACAGCTGATAGCAGAGATAGAGGCTCCATTTGCAGACCCTCTAAGAGGATTTAGCTTGACCTTGAACTCTTTCCGCTACAGCAATGAACAGTCTGGGAGTTTTTCTGATTGCCTTTATCTTTCGCAGGTAAAAGGTTAAGGCTCATCACATGTTGAGGGAATGAGGTCTCCTCTCTTCTTCCAATGCATGTGGTTTCAGAAAAAACACAAGTGAAGTGACTGGTGCAAGTGAAACTCTGAAACTACTTTGTGGGTGAACTTAGGATGTAAACGTGATGACACCTTGTCTCTATGGAATATGGTGTCAGGCAGATCCATCATCAATGCTCCAAGCTCGCCCACCCTCCTGGCTGAGTTGATGGCTATCAGGAATGTAATCTTCATGGACAGAAGAGAAATGAAACATGTAGCTAGTCGTTCAAAAGGAGGTTAAGAGAGCACCAAAAGAATAAGGTTTAAGTCCCATTGAGGAGCAGATTTCCTTACTGACAGAAAGGCTCTGATTAGACCTTTCAGAATCTAGTAGTCAGTAAGTGAGCAAAAATTGAATAACCATGAGAAGATGGGTGATACACATTCACTGGTGACAGGCGGATCCCAGCTGTTCTGAGAGAAAGATGATTGTCCAGAATAAGGGGAATACTCACAACTCATGGGTTTCTGTTGTGCCCAGACAAAGAAACACTTCCACTTGACTAAGTAGAATATTCTAGTGGAATCTTTTCTACTGTTAGTAAGGATGCTTTGCACAGCTCCAGAGCATGAACGTTCGAGAGTTGACACCCATCCAAACACCTCACCCTGAGATGGAGTGCTTGGGGGTTAAGATGCTTGATTCTGTCTTTCCCCTGGGTCATGAGATTGGAAAAGGACTGAATGTTGATCGTTGACCAAGGTAACATGTGTATGAGGCTCAGGAACAAGAACTGGGCCAGTTGGAGGCAATGGGGTTGACTCATACCTTGTCCAATTTACAAAATATATACATATGTATGTACAGATCCAAACTAAAGGAAGATGAAACTCCAGACAGTGGAGGTTCCAACCCAGGCCATGCGGTGATAAGAAGGAACTAGAGAGGCGGTCAGTCCACTCTGCCCTTTATCTCCTCAATTGGAGGCAAGAGGACGGCAACAGCGCATGCATGACCCAACGGACACAGCTTTCAAGAATTCTCTGACTCTGTGCGCATGTGTACTCACAGTGTAATACACACAGGTACCAGCACTCAAAGAAGTACAAGTTTTCAGCATGCACACAGTGTATGCTAATGCAAAAACAAGTGTCAGGGCAAGGACTGTCTACCACAAAATGTCTAGCAAAATGGGGCCCCATTCTTGGTTGACCATCAGGCACTATCATAATTAATAAGTTAAATGTACAAATCAAAATCTCTCTCTTGTACTCTACTACATATTTTTATTTTCTTGCTTGCTCATTCTTCATCTATTCCCTGTGTTTTGTGTTCCCAATACAACAAAATATTTAAGCACATGTTTGAGCACTTTCCTAAATCAGGGTCTATATTTTCTACTCCTTTCATACATTTCTCTGCACAATTCTTCCTTATTGCTCTCACCTGCCATATCATTTAGGAGTCTGTTTTCCAGCATTGGTTCAGAGCATTACTTGGTTTATTCTAGTCATTGTGGTACCTCTATGTATACATCATTTATGAGGAGGGGAGTAGCTGACTGACCTCAAAATAGTTTAATAATGGCCTTTCCCAAAACCAAAGCAATTCATACAAACACAGTGAAACAGAACACAAAATTGTATCATTTGCCCATTTTTGAGCTACTTCAATTGCACTGTAAAGCAATTTAGCTTCCTTATAAAATAGTACCTAATGAATAGGCCTTCATTATGCATAACTTTTCTTGCAAGAGAAAAAATGAACAAAGCAAGTGAAAGAAAATAGGTATTTTATAAATAATACAAATACCAAAATAACTATTGTGTAAATAAGATGTAAAACATTATTTTGATTTGAAACACGTAGGAGAGACTATGCAACAAGTGAAAAGGACAATTTAATAGGAGTCATTAGTAATGTAACAAGAAAACACTGAAGGCCACACACATCAGTAATGGTTGCAGGTAAATTACATTTACCTGACATTAATGGATTAGTCAAAATTGGGCTTTTTTGTGTACTAGTTGAGGGGTGGGATAGGGGTTAGTAAGTGTAATAACTATTTATACAGTTTTAGTTCAAGTATTGCAATCATCGGTGGTTACTATATACTGGACTCATGTTACAGAACATCCTTCTGGATTGCATCATTATAGCATTATGCTTGCAACAGACCCCATGTGCCAGACAGATTATGCCCAGCCATTATCCAGATTATCTGCTCTCCACTTCTATCCCTACACGGGCGCTGGGCATAAATGCAACTGGCAACATTAGCTACCACAAAAAGGATAGACAAGAGTTGGGACCATGGCCTTGTGAACTAACCAGAAGAGCTGGCTGGGCATTGAAGGGTGTTTATAATATGCATTCTGAAGTCTTTTCTACATAAGCATTTACTGTATCTTTCCCTCCCCACACCCATTGTGATAAATTACCAGAACACCATTAACTCTTCTTGCATCAAGTTTCTGTAGTTACCTGTTGCTTCAGGTGGATCCCTTAAGAAGTCAACAAAGTAAGCATCAGTTTCCGAATCCACTAAAGCCTTTTTCTCTTCACCGAATTCCTCCTCAACCAATTTTGCCAAAGCTGTATCAAACCAATCTACATCCGCTGGGGTTGTGAAACGATCAGCAATAACACACTTACATTCATGCTTCCACAACTTTATCAACACCTGTTCATAAAACAAACATCTCAATTGATTAAGTTTGTAACAGAGCAGGGCCGGCTCCAGGAAGCAGCCGAGCAAGCTCGTGCTTGGGGCGGCAGATTCTAAGGGGCGACATTCCGTCCAATCTTAGGGCGGCACGGCTGCCCTATTTTTTTTTTTTTTTTGCTTTGCCTACGGGTCCAGCCGCCCTGCACCCAGGGTTTTTTGTTTTGTTTTTTTTGCTTTGCCTCCAGGTCCGGCCACCCTGCGCCCTGGGTGGGGTTTTGTTGTTGTTGGGGGGGGGGGTTGGCTTTGCCTCCGGGTCCAGCCGCCCTGCGCCCTGTTTTTTTGGGGGGGTTTTTGGCTTGGGGCGGCAAAAAAGTCAGAGCCGGCCCTGAACAGAGGCACTTGTGCTCTTCACAGCCATATCTCAGCAAGGTTAGAGTTTTGTCACTGTTGTTCCGTACAGTATCGCGTTACCTCTAGACAATACAAAGTAATGCTTTACTCCTTACAAGGGAAGCTGAAATAGTATTCTTTGTCAGACTTTGATTCAGCTTCATCTCAGCTTAAGTGTATGTCCAGTTTACAAAAAAAAAAAGAGACACTTCACATTCAGGACAAAGTATTAGATGAAGCCTCAGTCTAGCCTCTCAAACTACATAATTATGTGTCCAATTATTGCATGGCCAAAAACAGACTTTATGAATGCCAAGCATATTTTTACAAGCAAATTCAATAGCTGACTACCCAGTTTGCTAACAGATCTATTTCCCACTCACAAATCATACGTGTTGGTTCATAAGCTGGTGTCCACACTTTTATATGCTACTTCTGACAGCACCATCAGTGGAGATGGTTGGATAATGATTCATCTGCAGAGGGATAGTCACTGCATTGAAGACTCAACTTTATATTTCAGTATTAAAGAAAATTGGCTTTTCAAAAGGAAAATTGAAAAATTAAGAGGGAAATATTTACGTCAAGTATCTTATTTTTCACAAGGAGTGTGGATCGTACAGTAATGAAATACAGAAAGACTTGTTACAGTCCAGTGTTATTCCCTCTTCCATTTAAGATATGTCTATGCTGCAATCCTGGGCATGACTGCAGCATGGGTAGACATACCCATGTTCGTTGTACGCACACTAGCACAGCTAGAAATAAAAGGGTAGGTGTGCTGGTACAGCCTTCAGATGGGGCTGGACAAGCATATTGGGGATCCCAGGTATTTACAGGCATTGCTATCCCATGCAGACGCTTGTGCTGCTGTTTCTCCACTGCTATGTTTGGCTGTGCTAGTACAGGTAAAGCTAGCATGGGTATGTCTGCCCATGCTGCAACTACACCTCAGACTGAAGTATAGACATATCCTTATAGCTTTAAGCCAAAAATCAACTTTCAGCCAATTACATGGTTTGAAAACCTCAAGGCATCCTATACCTTAAGAATAAAATTATTTGTCATTAATACACTGAATAGTTTGCTGCTATGTATGTTTATAAAATTGAATATTTTAAAAAGCTTGATTTTTCTCCAGAATTTTAAAAATTGAAATAAGTTAACATTTATCAGTAAGTAAAACAGACCACAAAACTGATGCAGACAGTGTAACAAACTGGTTTCTGTTCTTTTGCTACATTGTATGTCCATAAAATCCTTTGGCAACTTAGCAATTTAGCCTTCAGTATCACAGTATTGTTTCATCACTGATGCTTATTATTTATTATTTGTATTGAGGAAGCACCTTGGAATCCCAGATATGGAACAGGATCTTACTGTCCTAGACAGAGTACAAACACAGAACAAAACCACTGACGATCTTACAATTTAATAAGAAAAGTGATAACAAGTAGAGACAGAGGCTTCCTACTTTATACTGAACCACCAAAGAATCAGTTAAAGTCTTCATCCCATTGCTACTTAATATGCTAACTCCATGAAAGAAAGCTGTATGTTACTTACATTAGGTTCACTGATTACTTCCGATACGGTATTTAGCATCCCCTGCCAAATCCTTGAGAGATCTCGTAGATTGAAGACATAATGGAACTTGGCTGGAGTGGGTAGCATTTTGATCTTGGTCATCTGCCATAACCTGCGTGTCAGTGGCACCAATTTGGCTACTGATCTTCTCACCTCTTCTGAGAAGCCCCGCTGACTACAATAATGCCCTACGCCAATCACACCTGCGAAAAGCAAAACTGATGGTTTAAAGGGCAGTTACTAAAATAAGGCTCGTCTACACATGGAGCTATTCTGGAACAGCTATTCCTGAATAACTCCAGGCACAGACAACCTGTACATGTAAGACAGCAATACTCTTTGCACCTTCACCTCATGTCCCCTGAAATAAACCAAAATGCTGCAGCCTAGCTAAGCTATAAAATGCACCTCTTGGGCTGCATTGGGAGCAATAGGCTAAGGACCAGACACCAATTATTTTAAGTCCAGGGTCAAAGTTATTTCTGCAAAATTTTTGCGGATGTGTGCAGCAGTGTAAACATGTAGCACCTGCACATGCAACAAATGTGCACAGAAATCCTGTATTTTCATATGTAACTGTGGAGCGTGCAGATTTTCCAGGGACAACTTTGGTGCCAGCCTCAGAATCTTGGATCTAGATGTCCCATTGTAAGACTATTTTCTTGAGTTTATAAATCAGTTGGTGAACTTCACGTTGAGTTGGAACATTCCAAGTCAAACCTGAGCAGAGACTCAATTTGGATTTTTCAACAAGAAAAATATAGTTTCCACTGAAAATGTTACGGGGCTAAATCATGGAAACCTCTCTACTCCCTTGGGTTTTGTAAAAAATGATACTTGTTCAAGGCCTTAGTTTTGGGTCAAATTTTACCTCAGAAAGTCCATTTAAAAATGGACACCATTTTGATTTTGTGCCAATGTTACTCACAGTTTACTCCTAGGGAAATTCTGCGTCACTGCACAATGCAGAATTTTGCAGAAATTAATGTTGGGCACTCAGAATTTCCTTTTTTCCCCACATAGAAATGGGCTGCAGAGATGTTGGCCACCACTAGGGGCTGCTGGATCCGGCAGAGCCCAGCTCATAAATAGAAGGCAAGGCTGGGGGGAGAGGGAGGGAACTGGAGGGTTCCCAGCAGCTGTAGTTCTCAGAATACCCTGAAGGAAGGAGGCGGCACTCAGGAAACTCTGTGCAAGCCTGGGACCCTGCATCAGGCTGTTTCTCCCTCTGGATCCCTGGGAGGGTAGGGTCTGTGAGTGTCTGGGCCGGGGTGGGGAGCTGCAGCTGGGCTCTGTGGGGTAGAGGGTGTAAGTGTCTGGGCCGGGGGGCCCACAGCTGGTCTCTGGGGTGGGGGTGAGTGTCTGGCTCCCCAGCTGGGCTCTGGGGGGAAGGGGCAGAGAAGCAAGAAGAGGAAGTTACTCACTTTGTGCAGTAATGATGGTTCTTCAAGGAGTGTGTCCCTATGGGTGCTCCACTGTAGGTGTATGTGCGCCCCTGCGCCTCTAATCGGAGATTTTTGGTAGCAGTGTTCGTTGAGCCCGCGCATGTGCCCTCCCTCCCTCGTGGTCTGCCTCGAGGCTATTTAGCACTGCACGGGCAAACCCCCCTCACTTCCTTCTCTACCGCAGAGCCCTATTGAGAACTCCGAAGTAGAAGGGAGGGGGCGGGTTGTGAAGCACTCATAGGGACACACATCTCAAAGAACCATCGTTACTGCACAAGGTGAGTAACTTCCTCTTCTTCTTTGAGTAGTGTCCCTATGGGTGCTCCACTGTAGCTGCCTCCCGAGCAGTATCCACCACTGGAGGCTGGGACTTCAGAGTGGAGTCTTTTACTACAAAGAGTACTGTGGAGTCAAAGATGGAGTCAGCGGCCAAATCTTCAGTGATCGCATAATGTTCTGCGAAAGTATGGGCAGAGGCCCAAGTCATCGCTCTATAGATTGCTGAGATAGGGGTATCCCTACGGAATGTGACTGAGGTAGAAACGGACCTCGTGGAGTGCGTATGGACTCTTGACGGAAGCAAGTTGCACCCTTGATAAGTGATTAATGCAACCAGAGACCCATTTGGATAGTCTATGAGCTGATATCACAGAGCTTTTGGATCTTTCTGTGGACGAAAGGAAGAGTTTAGGGGATTTCCTGAAGTCTTTAGTCCTGTCCAAGTAGAAAGCTAATGTCCTTCTAATATCTAGCATATGCACAATTGTCTCCCAGTTGTCATAATGTGGTTTTGGGAAAAAACAGGGAGATGGATCTGTTGATTCATATGGAAAGTGCAGCGAAAGTAGGGAGAAACTTGGGATATGGCCTTGGAGTTACTTTGTCTTTAAAAAAAAAAAAAAAGGCTGTGAATGATGAATGTGCCACCAGGGCCGCTATTTCTCCTATGTGCCTAGCTGAGGTGATGGCAATTAGAAATGCTGTCTTCATGGACAGGGGTAAGAGAGAACAAGTTGCCCTGGACTCGGAGGGAGGTCTAGTCAAAGCCCTGAGAACTAGGTTAAAGTCCCAGGCTGGAGCGGGTGGTGTCACATGCGGGAAGAGATTCCCAATGCCCTTAAAGAATGTACGCATTAGTGGGTGAACAAACACCAACTGGGAAGCCGTTTTCGCCGTGAGATGTACCTTAAGGGAGCTGAGTGAGAGTTTAAAATGTAGTGCAAAAACAGAGGGAGGAAAGATGAGGTTGGGTCTGTGTGTTTGGAATGACACAAACTTGGAGTTGTTTCCATTTTGTAGATAAGTATGTCGAGTGGTCAGCTTTTGGTTGTGTTGCAACACGTCTTTCAGCTTGACAGAGCATTCTGCCTCTAAGCCTTGGAACTAAGAAGGAGCCAAGCTTGGAGGCGGAGGACCTGCAGGGTGGGGTTAAGGGTCAGCCCATTGTTTTGAGAGAGCAGGTGAGGAATGGGCTGAAGAGAAACAGGAGGACATATTGCCATCTGTGTGAGGTAAGGGAGCCAGACTTGTCATGGACAAGAGGGGCAATCAGAATAATTCTCGCTTTGTCTCGTTGAATTTTCAACAGAATCTTGGATAGAGTAGGAAACTGGGAAAAGACATACAAGTGGGCCCTGTCCCATGGGAAGATGAGGGCAACTGCCAGTGAATGTTTCCCCAGGCCAGCCCTGGAGCAGTAACAAGGACCTTTCTTGTTCTGTTAAGCAGTGAAGAGATCCATAGTCAGGATTCCCCAAAGGGCGGATATATTTTGAAGCACCTCTGAATTCAGTACACACTCATTGTCATGAGAAAATTTCAGCTGAGACTGTCAGCCATCACGTTCTGTATCCCTGGTAGATAGACAGCTGAGATGAGCACATTGTGATGGGTGCATCAATTCCAAAGTTTGAGTGCTGTCTTGTAGAGGGAGGGAAATCTGGCAGCCCCTTGGCGATTTATACAAAACATACAGGTCACATTAAGTCCATCATGTCCTTTGTGTGTTGTTTTTGATGAAAGGCAGAAAGTGTGCACAGGCACTCCTGACAGCCCTTAGCCCCAAAAGAGTGATATGGAAGGTCATTTCTGTGAAATGCCATTTGTCCTGAACCTTGTGGTTGTGTAGGTGAGCTCCTCAGCGTATTAGGGAGACGTGTCCCAGGGTGGTAAATGTGGGTAGCGAGAGTAACGCTCTCACTTGTACTGCATCAAGGTTGGTGCTGATATAGTCCAGTCACTGTACCGGGGTTAGTAGGCCGCTACAATGAAGAGAACCTTGGAGGATACCCTAGCAGAGCTCACAGCTGGGGGCCCCTTCTCAGGTGCCATGCTTCAGAGCTGTGGTGCCGACCCACTGAGGTGGCCACTCTGGGAAGCCCCACTGGCTGACCAGCTACTTGGAACCCATGTGTTTGGATCGGTGCTGAGATGGCCGCACTGGGGAACCCCTCTGGCTGGCCAGTTGCTCGGAGGAGCCCTTTTTACGAGCCTTTCCGAGGGAAGTCTGCTGGTGGCCTTTTTTATTTTTCTTCTTCTCCTCCTCCTCTCCTCTTCACGACTCGACCCCTTTTGAAGTGAAGGCTCCGGGGATTATCCGGGGTCAGCACCCACCGGAGTCCCCTGCAGACTGAAGTATTTTCTCCATAGGGAGGAGTTTTAACTTCAGCTCCCAGCTCCTGTGAGGCTTCCATTTTAGCTGTGGCAGGTAAAGCACTCTGTGAGGCTCTCCCAGGCACAGTGAGTGTGTCTGGCCATTACAGGAACTGACTCCTGGCAGGAGAGGCACTGCTTGGAGCAGAGAGAGCCAGGCATGCCCCTGGGCAGGGGGTTGTCATCCTCTAGCAGTCTTCTTTACTTTTTTTTTTTAACTGGAAAAAAAAATTATGAGTCTACTAGATGTCGGGGGAGGGAGTGGGGAATGCCCTTCAGACAGGGCAGGAAACTGAAGTTCTTTTCCTTTCTCTCTCTCTCTCTCTTTTTTTTTAACCCAAAGGAATAAAATAAAATAAGGAAACACTAGCCTAAGTACTTTTAAGAAGAACAAAGGTAACAAAACAAACACTACTTATGCTAATGACACAGATAAGGAAGGGACAACTGCTCATTCTGTCTGAGGCCAAAGGTGGTAGAGAAGAAAGTGAGGAGGGTTCGCCCATGCAGTGCTAAATAGCCTCGAGGCAGACCACAACGGAGGGAGGGCACATGTGAGGGCTCAAGGAACACTGCTACCAAAACTCTCCGATTACACACAGGGCGCACATATACCTACAGTGGGAGCACCCACAGGGACACTACTCGAAGAAGAACTGGGTTGTCATAGGGGTTACTTTAACTCTCTACTCCTGAAGGAATTTTTGTGTGTGTCTTTATTGTTACAGACATACTTGCTGACAGGTATTTTGAAATAAATTACCAAAATAATTGAAACTGCCATAATTATGTAGTGTTATTTTGACAAAATAAAATTTGCAGAATTTTAAAATATTGTGTGCAGAATTTTTAATTTTTTGGTGCAGAATTCCCCCAGGAGTAAATTTAGAATCTTAGTCTAAGGCAGAGATTTGGTTTTGTGTTTGTTTGTTTGTTTTTAGCTTCCAGGGCATGACCAAGGAGTGGGCAACAGGGGGAGATCAAGGGCTGAAAAAAAAAAAATCAGTTGAAATCCCACTGAGCACTAACCACCAGCACTAACCAGCCCCAGCACTCCCCACCAACTCCTCCAGCACTACCACCAAAAGCCAATGAGTTCATGTACCCCAGTCCTTGGTAATCCCAAAGTAGTTTGGGATTTAAGTGAGTCCTAATCACTAACCACACGTGGAAAAATTGAGAGCCACTGTTCTAGGAAAACCTGGGTACACATATTTAAGACCCCCCACTCCCCACATACAAAAAATTAAGATTTCCCTTTAAAGTACGGGGGGGACAAACAAAATTTGGCACCCCAATTCTAACTGTTTCAATCAACACTTTCTAAAATGAGTCTTCATTTTACCAAAGATCTTGTCAATGGAAGAATTGGACGGCAGAGTACAGTTGAATATGGAAAAATGTCTCTTTAGTCTCTGTGGGATGTCATTGCGACCTCCACCAGGGTGGATCATGGCTGCCAAGAACTGGATATCAACGATGTTGGTAAACTCCCCTGGTTTCTCCAGGTTATAGAACCCATTCTGTTCCATCAGCTGTCGAACTATCTCATTGGTGACCTATAAAGAGCCCGTTAGGATTAGAATATCTCCCTGATGCACAACGGCATGCAAAATTATTTATGAGTACCCAAAAATTGTAACTAAGAGACAGATTTTCCTTGTCTTAAAAAACACTACATTTTCTTCTGCCATGAAGAAAACAACATTTATAAATTATCAGAAATAGGTGGGATTGGATCACCCTTTCCTCTGGTAATATCTAGAGGAGGGAGCTCAGAAGAAAATAATCACATGTATTTCAAATACCTCAATAACCTGACCAGAGTGGGGAGCCATGTCATCTATGTCACAAGGAGACAGAAAAACAACAGATCAGCATTAAGCCAAATTTCAATACTTAACTAACCTGATCTCCCCACTCATTGATTACAGGCATATTCACATCATCAATGAAGACAGTCATCTTCTTGCCTGCAGGAGGACCATATGTCGTCCCCATGCGTTTGTCCACATAACTCTCTATTGTACGCTGTAAGAAAAAACTTTATTACCTAAAGCTGTACAGTTCCTCTCCATCAAAGGATAGTTTATTCTTTTTAAATGCACCCATTTAGTAGCAGGAACTCTTCAATAGCGAAGGCATACATGGGTACTCTTCAGACTGTTTTGAGGAGATTTCCACTAAGAAATGCCACTGGCTTTGTAGAATTGGTAAATGGAACACTGGTTTCTGAAGTGAGGTAATAGGTTGCTATACAAATTGAACACAAATTGCCTTTAAAAACCATAACTGCTGATGTAGTACATGCAATCCATTTGGAGAATTCTGAGTTGGATTATCCCTTTTTTCCCCCCATGGAGTGGTGTAATAAACTAAGTTTGAACTATTGTGATCATAGATAACTGTGTGAAATATCACCTGCATGAAAGATTTAACTCAATTATGAAATAAACACAACTTACAACCATTAGTGTAAACTACATTTGTAAAGTTTTTAGTCTTTTACACAAGGTTTTAATGACAATCCAATAAAAATTAATGGCCACTTCAGCCAGTTAGTGTGAACTGGCATATTTCCAGACATCAAGAAACATTGAGAATTTGATGAGGGAAGTATAACGTGTCAAAAGCATGAGAGTAACCAAGTAACCACTGGAATGACTGGAAGAGATGTGGTTCCTGAGGATTTGCTGAAATTGATGAACAATTTTAAAAAGACATATTGTGAGAGAAGCAAGTTACATCCCTGTAGAAAGGCCATTTTGACTGAAGCCCTTGGAGTAGATTGGTGCTTTTGTTTGTTTGTATCTTTGTAATTAGAGAAAGCCTTCTTTTAATGAGATCTTTCTGGCAAATTCTCGGTGTACAAATAAAGCAGTGAACCCAGTCATCTTATTAGAAGTAGAGTGATTACTATACCTGGAACATTAATGGGGTAGTTGCAGATGAAAAGTTCAGACTCTTGGCCATGTGGCTTTCAGGATTATATTTTGACATGAATCCTTTGATGATGACAGTTTTAGCAGTTCCTTGCTCACCAATTAGTAGCACAGCCTAGACAAGGAGAGAATTCAAATGAGCCCAGAGGTGCAAAAGCCAAGTGTGCCAGCAAAGCCTTATCAACCGCTGTATCTATCCTTGTCAGGAATGAAACAAAGAAATAAAAATGTAACTTTCAATGAGAAAAAAATTGGCAAACTGGAAGCAGTGGGCTGCTTTTGCACTGAATAATTCAAGGTGTATTAACTAACAGTATGTGTGGAAAAGGGTCATTAGTTTCCACTATACAACAGGGGATCCTCGCATTTTCACCTATAATTCCACACTGTCCTGCTATGCTGGAAGGAGGACAGGAGACACTAGATGTGGTTTAAATTAGGCTGCAATCTTATTCCTAAATGTCTGGAAGTACCCGTCAAATAAAAGTGTACAGTGCTGGTAGTTCCATAATCATTTACACATACCCGGGAGCAGGGGTTACCCATCCTAGTCCCTAGCCAACCCACTGCTGGGACCCTCCTCCATCAAATGAGGGTTAAGGCGTGCTATAAAGGAGGGTTGGTTGGCTCTCTGCCATACCAGTCATAGGAGCCCCGAACCCCCGTTTCTGCTCCTTTAAAGAATACCTCCTTTAAATCATTTACTAATCCACTTTATCTGATCACATTATCCCTTCCCTGCAGAGTACCTGCACAGGATATCAGCCCCATATTTACATAATGAGTTGCAAATCATAGCCTAACTTCTGATTCATATTTTCCCCAACTAAGCCATGTAACCCTCTGTCAGGAAGGTGGGGGGAAAAAACCCATCTTGCCTTGGCCAATCTGGCAGTGAGGGGAAATGTCCTTTACAGCCCCCTGAGAAAGGAGCGACTGGTGGAATGCCCACCATGGATCATGACAAAGCCTGGTATTTAACTACTTCCATGCACGGGAAGGTGGGTGCTGCTCCACCTGGTCCAGGTAAAAGAGGGTTTTTCCTGCCCCAGTGTGGACCTAAATAGTTCCCCCTCTCTTCTGGTCACCTGGTGTGGGATGGGACACTGACCTGGACAAGCTGCCACAGCAAATCACTCCACTCTAGTCTCTAAAGGGCCCACACACCTTTCCCTGCAAGCCAGACAATAGCCCCCACTGCTTAATGTGCGGTGAGGTCATTTTATTTAAGAACATAAGAATGGCCATACTGGGTCAGATCAAAGGTCCATCTAGCCCAGTATCCTGTCTTCCAACGGTGGCCAATGCCAGATGCCCCAGAGGGAATGAACAGAACAGGTAATCATCAAATGATCCATTCCTTGTTGCCCATTCCCAGCTTCTGGGAAACAGAGGCTAGGAACACCATCCCTGCCCAACCTGGCTAATAGCCATTGATGAACCTATCCTCCATGAATTCATCTAGTTCTTTTTTGAACCCTGTTATAGTCTTGGCCTTCACAACATCCTCTGACAAACAGTTCCACAGGTTGACTGTGCATTGTGTGAAGAAATACTTCTTTTTGTTTGTTTTAAACCTGCTGCCTATTCATTTCATTTGATGACCCCTAGTTCTTGTATTATGAGAAGGAGTAAATAGCACTTCCTTATTTACTTTCTCACCAGTCATGATTTTATAGACCTCAACCATATCCCCCATTAGTCGTCTCTTTTCCAAGCTGAAAAATCCCAGTTTTATTAATCTCTCCTCATACGGAAGCCGTTCCATACCCCTAATAATTTTTGTTGCCCTTTTCTGAACCTTTTCCAATTCCAATATATCGTTTTTGAGATGGGCAATACATCTGCACACAGTATTCAAGATGTGAGCGTACCATGGATTTATATACAGGCAATATGATATTTTCTGTTTTATTATCTATCCCTTTCTTAATGGTTCCCAACATTGTTAGCTTTTTTGACTGCCGCTGCACATTGAGTGGATATTTTCAGAGAACTATCCACAATGACTCCAAGATCTCTTTCTTAAGTGGTAACAGCTAATTTAGACCCCATCATTTTATATGTATAGTTGGGATTATGTTTCCAATGTGCATTACTTTGCATTTATCAACACTGAATTTTATCTGCCATTTTGTTGCCATTTATAATTTAACTCCCCCACCACCCATGCAGATCACATCACTGACGTACACAAACAAGAATGATACCTTGCCCTGCCCAGCAATTGTTTCAATAAGGAAGTCTGTTCTCACGTTGTCGACATTTGGCACCAAGATGGAACCATACTCTGGAATGCTGTTAGTGGGGTACACATACTCTTCAACACGAGTACTCCAGTGCATCCATTTACCTAGTCAGAACAGAATAGATTAATACTTCCAAGCTACAAAGAATTTGCTTCTATCTCATTCTCCAACTAGTAGTACAAGTGGATTGTTACCTATGAAGTTCTCTTACCCTGTCTGGGGCAGTGGGTCCCACAGGCAAAACCCACCCACTATGATGATCAGCAATTAACTTCACAAGGAGTATTCTTAAAAACCCATGGGAAGGGCCACATGACCTGTTGTTACAAGTGACACTTAAGATGAGAGAAACACCTTCCAGCTTGCTTACATTTGCTCATTTGACAGTACTTTGTGATACAAAGTCCCTGTTTCCTTGTGTAGTCAGTTTCCCTTGTTTTGGTATCTTACAGCAACAGGGAGAAACTTTATTAAAACCAGTAGTAAAATGTGATTTTAAAACAAAAACTGTCAGGGAACATGGGAAAGTATACAACCTGAAGTGCCTTCTCTATTAATTCTATGAAATATACTCTTTCAAGATCATGTCTCTTCAAATGTTATCTGGTATATGTCAGTGGGTTACTAACCATCAGTTGCCACATAGTAGTCAAACATGGTATCTTCACTTCCTTCTGAGATATGGGGAAGATCAAGCTTTATTTTTTTATGATTACGAAGCCAGTGCTCCATTTTGCATCTGTCTTCCAATTCCAGCAATGCTCCAACACTCCACATGAGGGAGAAGACGTACAGCCTTTCCAGGTACTCTGGTGTTACTTCCACTCCTTGCTCCTGAGAGGTAAAGCATTGTTTTAGCTACTTTCATGGCTTAAGGCCTTTCCAAGAAACAATTCCTACATCAGACTCTGCTTTATATGTCCAAGTTGAAAACCTTTAGCTTTGATTTACATAAGGGTACGTCTACACTTACCTCCGGGTCCGACAGCAGGCAATCGATGTTCTGGGATCGATCCCGGAAGTGCTCGCCGTCGACGCCGGTACTCCAGCTCGGCGAGAGGAGTACGCGGCATCGATGGGGGAGCCTGCCTGCCGCATCTGGACCCGCGGTAAGTTCGGACTAAGGTACTTCGAATTCAGCTACGTTATTAACGTAGCTGAATTTGCATACCTTAGTCCGAAGTGGGGGGGTAGTGTGGACCAGGCCTAAGTCTCAGTAGGTGTCCCTACCCATGCTCTGGGCAACCATTACACAAACGAAGAGATACAATACATACTGTGTCATATTATTTATTTTCCCTAATTCAGAAAAATAGCCATCGGGAAAAAACCCATAGCAAACAAATAGCTTATTTCTCTCCAGAAGCCCAGGGAAAGATGAGTAGTTGGTTTATTAGTTCATTAAAGCCCCGACTCTGCAAATACATATGTTGAATGGGTTACACTATGACACAAGTAGTCTCACTGCATTATGGATATGTGGTTACAGGATTCAGGCCTTATACTCAAGGTTCCTTAGGGCAGAGACCTATTATTTTTTATGCCTATAGCGTAATGCTTTTAAGAGATCTCTTCCTGGGTATATCTCTTAAATATACATGGAAAATTAACATGATGCAGTATGCAACTGCTCGCTAATTAAATGCTGGCTCTCAGAGGCAGCATATGTTAACAGTGCTCTGAGGCTTGCACTGGCTGAATTTGTATTTTGGTAGAGTTTAAAAAGCCAAAGATGTTGTGGGTCTTGCCCGTCTGCAGTACCACACCTCTCCCTGTGCTATGCTGCCACAATTTTGGCTGGATCCCCTTTAAAAAAAAGGAGGCGCTGGAAGAACAATATTCATAGAAGCAGTTTTCTTTAAGGAGGCATGTGCTTCTCCCTCCGTGGTCCAAATTTACTTGCCTTCCAGGCATGCTGCTAAATTCATCTATTTGACTTGGCATAGTTGGAGGGCTGAGTCTGTTGAGATTAGGGTTTTTATATGGTGGCAATGCATGTAAAGAGGTGGGTTTGATTTACACATGGTAAAGTGAGTGGAAGGGATGAGTGCTGCTGCTTTGAAGTAAGTTTATTCATCTTATATTATTGTATTTTTCAATAAATGTCCCGACAGCCCTGAGCTTAAGGGGCATGCCATTGGGTACTGAGTATTAGACCAGAGGTGTTTAGTCTAAATATGGCCTGGTCTACACTAGTGGGGGGGAATCGATCTAAGTTACGCAACTTCAGCTACGTGAATAACATAGCTGAAATCGACGTACTTAGACCTACTCACCGCGGTATCTTCACTGCAGTGAGTCGACTGCTGCCGCTCCCCCGTCGACTCCGCCTGCGCCTCTCGCGGCGGTGGAGTACAGGAGTCGATGGGAGAGCGCTCGGGGGTCGATTTATCGTGTCTAGACTAGATGCGATAAATTGACCCCCCACTGGATCGATTGCTGCCCGCCGATCCGGAGGGTAGTGTAGACATACCCTATGTTACATTTAAGGACATGAATAAAGTTATGTTTTCACATAAGGATAAGTAGATATGAATAGTTCTAGTGCAATTGGTCACATGTGGCATTGGTCTTTTTGCAGTATCCTCCATCAAGGCAATCCAGACAAATAAAAAATTGGCCTGTATTTTGTCTTTAATTAAATTCTTATTGAATAATTTTGCACAAATGTTAGTGTTTGCTTACAAGAGTTCCCTGACAATATGGAAACAATTCGACTTTTAGAAGAAGCTATTTATTATCAGAAAGATAACAACAGCAAGTCAGTTGGTTTGCCAGCCGCATGCTAGTATTTGCACTGGCAGTTCAATAACAAAGAAACAAAGTGCACCTTCAAATGTGACTGTAATGAAATTAAAATAGGGGGCTCCAACTGAGAAATTAGGCTGCAGCCTTTGCCAAAAATGGTGATAACTATGAAATCATGTGTACACTTGAATTTTGCTGTAATGATGGTTAGTAATTACTGTATAGATCAAAGGGAAAATGATGAAGTGTTGCATTTGTCAAAGAATTCTGCATAAACCAGGAAACAGGCTGATAAAGACTAATATTTCCACCTTCTTGATTAAGTATCATTGCTGTGGAATTATGTCCCAGATAATGTTCAAACTGCTGAATCTATTCCTGCTTTTATATTTCAATTCTACACAGCATTGACTTGGATTTCTCCAATGCCATTGACACTGGGTAACAATGGGAACGGTTATCAACAGTAAAACTGACATTGGCTTCACTGAATGAAGAAATGTTCCGCACAGGAAGATCAGTGCTGAACATTTTGAAAATTCCCCTTTTTCATTCCAGTACCTTTAGGCCTTGTCTATACTTGTGACAATGTGTAGGGTACGTGTAGCTACACATCGCAGTGAAAAGTGATCTACATCCACAATGCAGTACATAGTTACATGCAACAGTAAAAGTCTCTGGCAGCACGATAGACAGGGGAAGCACTGCTTGGGCATGTACATAGGGTATATATATATATATTCTAAAGTTCTGGGCTGTCTTTACTCACCTAAGAAGTGCCTTACCATCTACACTGCTATTTATACCTTTGCTAGGGGAGTACAGTATCTGTACACTACACACCACCTTAAGTGAAGACATAGTCTTAATGAAAATCTAAACACTGAAAACTGAAATCTTCTCTTTAACCATAAAGTCAATATTCAGCAGCATGGGCACTAGCTTTGCAAGTTTCCCCAGACTGCCCTGCTAATCCAATCTGCCTCAAACCTAGTCTCAAGAAACCATCTCTATTGGCATGAAAATGTTCACCATGTACATCTACTCCTTGGCCGCCCTTTTCAGTCTACCAATAAGGTTACTGAAAAGTGCCAATTTTTGAACACATCCTCTAAGACATAGTGCAAGGGAAAATTTATTTCATATAAATAACAACAAATAAAAATCTATCAGATAGCATTAACTTTTGATCACCACATTCAACATTTTGTCTGCATTTAAGAAATTATAAGTGAAATGCCCTGCAGTCCATTATCCATTCTGTGAGCCATCCAGTGACTCCTGTTATTAAAACACCAGTTAGAGTGACTGCTGTCTGATGCTGCATAACAATTCTTACAATTGTCATTGTAAAAATATCAGAAAAAGCACTATATAAATATACTGAAATAAATATGGACCATCCTAAGTGTCATTTTCCAATAGAAATTAGGTATTTACATGTAAGACATTTTAAGCTCCCACATCTTCACAAGAATGTCTCTTCTCTAAATATCCTGGTGTGCTTTCTAATATGCACCCACACAGCACGAAACAACGTAAATCGGAATAAATAGGTGGCAAAATATTGACCAGCTTACCTTCAGAGGGATAAGTCCCTGCAGCATGTTAATGCTTTGCATGATCACAAAGGCCTCCAGCATCTCTATCTGATATTCCAAGGTCTGGATGCTGAAGCGGTAGAGTTCTGGGAATGATGAAATGTACAGCTGACGCAGAATTTCAGCTTCTTGAGGAGAACGTTTTTTCAGAAAGCCCTATTTTCCACGGGGGGAGGGAGGGAATATCCTTTAATTTCAAATCAAGACTTCAAAATATTTTTTAACGCTGTCAAGATTTTAGTAAAACAGACTCAGGTGACATGCTGACTTACTGAGATTCACCTTTCTTTGGTGATGCAAACAGAAGGCCAAATTCTGCATTCATGTATGTGTATAACTCCCAGTGGAAGTTGCACACACATATTAAAAAACAGAACTGGGCCAAAATCACAGCCAGTCATTCATCACTGCTCATGAGACAAAACTTCCACTTTAATTCTCAATCAGCATAGCTGTTTTAAGTGCATTTCAACTCTGCAAAGTGGCTATATAAAAATGGAGTTAGAGGTAGAACTCAGGGGTTAATTTAGCCTGAATAATTTTTATGTTTGGGAGATGCTACACCAGAACCCACCCAGATTTACCCCCAGAACCCAGTTTGGAAGTTCAAAATAACTGAGCTGAGCATGTCTGGAAGCCACTCAGAGGACAATCATGCAGTCTTAAAATGATATTTTTTGTTTATCTCTTGGCAGTAAAGATGTACCCTATGTCTAATTGATTCCAACAGATATATAGTATCTCATTCAACTCCCTCCCTCTCATATTCAAACTAGGCCAAAATTGGAGAAAATTTAGTATCCACTTTTTTTTAATGTCCCTACATGCAATATATCAGGTCAGAGCTTTAGAGAAATACTTATGCTTATCACTGCCTTTTAAATAGAGATGTAATAAAGGATGGCAAAGCCCCAAGTTGCTCTACTAGGAATACTTTCATCTTCCATATTTGTCTGTAGTTCCAAGGGATAGTCTTGAGGCTTTTGTTTGTATACTTTATTTTGGTGCAGCTTTTCCTGTGTTTACTGCCATTTCTTCTTTTATCCTGCAAGTTCATTTTTCCTGTGTTTGACAGTAATTGGTGCACCAATATTGCTGGCCAAAGTTCCATTTTTTTCACCAAAGCCCTGGTTTTGTGTAGTCTGACTCGTCTCCAAGTTCCACACCTCTATCTCGATATAACGCTGTCCTCAGGAGCCAAAAAAATCTTACCGCGTTATAGGTGAAACCGTGTTATATCGAACTTGCTTTGATCCGCCGGAGTGCACAGCCCCCACCCCCACCCCCCCGGAGCGCTGCTTTACCGTGTTATATCAGAATTTGTGTTATATCGGGTCGCATTATATTGGGGTAGACGTGTATTTCTCCAGATACTAATTTCTCTTTTTCCTCACATACCCCTCCTTAATACACCTCAATACAGCATTCACTACTTGATGCTTGTAGTTCAGAACAGTACTACAATAAGTTAAGAAAAAGCTAAATGGGACTTTTTCCATTTTGGAATCAATTTATCTGTAGTTGTATATACTTTAGCAATGCAGTACTCTATCCAAATACCTATGGCAGATTCAGATGTTTTCAGGCCAAGAGATTTAGAATGGAAAGAAACCATTTAAGATTATTATTTCCTGAATGTGTCAGTTCTGCTAATAATAATTTTAATAGCTCTTATATCTAGCACATACCATGCTTTTTTCCTTCAGGGATAAAGAAGGATTTGAGCATAAAGAAAAATAATTTTAATTTGGTTATGGAAAAAAATAATCAAATCTGACAGTGAATGACTCAAGAACATGAAGTGCTACCCTATACTCTTGGAAGATATAGCAAGAATCATGACTACTAACAGCAGAGACATCTGACTGTTGTGCTGATTGACTGCAGCTAGGAAGCATATTCCTTTATGGAGAGAAAATATGAATAAATATCAGAGGAGTAGCTGTGTTGGTCTGTATCCACAAAAACCAGGAGTCCGGTGGCACCTTAAAGACTAACAGATTTATTTGGGCATAAGCTTTCATGGGTAAAAAAAACCACTTCTTCAGATGCATGGAGTGAAAATTACAGATACAGGCATAAATATACTGGCACACAAAGAGAAGGGAGTATAAATAGATTCGCTGGAGAATAAATAGATGCCATTGGTTCAAATGGCTGAGTCATGAGAGTTTGTAATATTGTGGTCAGGTCTAAGGCCAGAGAAATAGTTTTAACAGTTAGTTTATATAGGCTTGTTGCCTTGAGGAACCACCCCAATCTGGTAATCTACCAGTGATTAGGATCAATTTGCCTTCATAATACCACATAACTCTGCAGCTGTTGGTCTCTGGGTTAATTTCCCTCTCCTGACTCAGCTGTGAACCATCTGATCCATACTTTTGGGTAGGACAAAAGGGGTGGAAATTCTGGAGGATGGTAGGCGCTTGTAACCTGGCAGAAATCTCAGTTAGGATTTGTTAATCAAGAGTCAAGGTATAGGATCAGGTAATCCTAAATGGGATAAGAGAGCCTTTCCTACTGAAAAGATGGATTAAGAGTTCCATTGTCTGAAGCTTTGTTTCTCATGACCAATTTGGGGACAATGAATATAATAGCCATTTCTTCCTATCTGAGCTTCTGATTCATTCCTCCCAGAAGTTGAAGGATGTACATACAAAGGAAATTTTCATTTGTGAGAGAAAGCAATTATTCCCAGTGATCATTTTTCCCTGATGAAAAGATGCCAAATTCATGTTTCAAAAGAAGGTGTGTATGTTCACCAGGAGATAGCCAAAGTTCCTGATGATCAGATAAAAACTTCTTGATTAAGGATCAGTTTACGAGCGTCTACAGGCTATTTGTGAACAGACTAGCTAACCTCTTTTGTTACATTTAATATATCAGAGGGGTAGCCGTGTTAGTCTGGATCTGTAAAAAGCAACAGAGTGTCCTGTGGCACCTTTAAGACTAACAGATGTATTGGAGCATAAGCTTTCGTGGGTGAATGCCCACTTCATCGGACATTCAACGAAGTGGGCATTCACCCACGAAAGCTTATGCTCCAATAC